AGTACATTGTTAGATCGTGTAATCGTTGCGAAAAAAGTTTGTCATTGAATTTGGATGTTGAAAACCTGCTATCTCATATTAGAAGTCTACTTTACAATAGGGGACTTTCCTCTGTTGATTTTCACGCACAGCCATCCGCATTGCACTTTCAAGTTCATGTATAACTACAAATTTTTAATTCCTAGCTGCGCACAGTTGCGTCGTACACTTTAACATATTCGGAAGTGATGATTAACTCAAGAGTTGCCTCGCTTAAATTACGCTTAAATTCTACTTTCCAATATCTTTTCCAACGTGTACTCCATTTAATAATATACTTTATACATTAATGTAAAGATATTTCAGATTTGAAAAACGTTGGTTTACAAAGAAGCCATTGTTCAATCCCGTATATGCGTTTGAAAGTGTTTTCTCTTTAAAGTCCGAATACCTCAAACTTTAAACTCGCTTTTGGAGACGGCTTTCGCTTATCGGGCGAAAATCCGGGACGAACGTTAATAAACGCTAATCCCGTCCTCAGGTTTTTTTTTATTTTTCGAGACGGTCCGTACGACTCCCGAGATTAATTCGAAACGAGGAAACTATAAATATAGTCATTTTATAGCCGCCGATTCGGATAAAAAGGCCGGCCCTCTCTCGCGGTCTCCGCAATTTGCCTGTCCGCTTTACGGCGAACCGTCGCGAGATCGACTTAGGCTCATTACCAATCGAATTAATGAATCGCTCCGGTGAGGTCTTGGCTGGACCGCCGGATCAGTTTCTACTCGCTCGCGAATCGCGCGAGCCAACAGGCGAGACACGCGAGCGCGCGTTGATGGATGCGCGCATCTAACGACCCAGTTGTCATGTAGCACGGTCGCGTGCTGCGTTAATTAACATTGGGATTATTTTCACGGGCAGAAACCGAGGATCGACATGCGCGAGTCGTTACTTCGGAACGATCGAGACTGATCGCCGCGCCGTGGAAAAGGCGCGCGCGTATAATAATGCGCGTACACGTGTAAAAAAGAAAGGGAGACGAGAAGAAAGATAGTGAAACCTCTCGAATTGAGATATTATGCTCGTCGCGGTCTAAATGCATACGATATATGCTCTCTCCTCGTATAAGTTCGATCAATGGACCAGGGGGGAGAGATCGATAACACGTAGAGGCGCGTACGTGAGAGTTCATTCGAAATCGGCACAGGGCGCGGCGGAGAAACGGAAATTGGTGTGAAACAATCTAATCAAACTGACTCGCGCGTGGATCGTGTTGCGTTCGATTCTACGGATTTGTGTGATGCGATCGCGCACCATCATTTTCTCCGATTGTATCTCGGACGATCAGTTTTTCCGGTTTTCTAAAGGTCTGTGTGGCCGCGACGCTAGAACTTGGTCCAAGTTCTAGTTCGGAGAAATACGTAGCCGATCAACTTGAAGCTCTTATGGAACAGCTGCAACTTGATTGGCAACGCATTTCTCGCAAGTTCCAGCTATTGTGTAAAAGCTGCAAGTTCATTGGCTATGCATTTCTCGGAACTAGAACTTGGACCAAGTTCTAACTATTCCACAAAAGCTGCAAATTGATTGGTTACGCATTTTGAAACTGGAACTTGGACCAAGTTCTAGCATCGTGGACACAGACTCCCCAGATAACAATTGTCGCGCGCAAATTTTGCTTGTCTTGTGTATGCAAACTCGTACGAGATTTGTCTGAGTTTTGCTCGTAAGATACGTTTAGTCTGTGCTTTTGCGCGCGAGTGGTTAGCTCGTGTATAATTAACGTACAATTTTGCGCACAAATATCCAACGACTCGCGTAGAAAAATGGCTCAACAACGCAAGCAAAATCCCATCCCGGTGCGTCGTCAATAATGCTAGGTGTTTGCGCGCGAAGTGTTTTCCGGGCCTTTAATCGTCGCGACGTATCGCACCGCGGGGAAATACCCGCGGGGGTTCCATCTCTTTCGTCGAGAATCGATCGTTCGAGATCTATCGATTTGACGCACGTTCACGCCGCCGGACACTCGCGATCGGCAGCGCGCGCATTTCGAGAGAAAGTAATTATATCAGGGTCTGATGACGTGGAGGGATGGGCGTGGATATACCTGCGCGGGTTCGACGACCCTCGAAAGCAGATGGCGGATCTTTTTCGAGCCGCGGGAAGAAAGTTCTTCTTCTCCTCTTCTTTTTTCTCTCTTTCCTCCGTCCCGAGCGACGCAACGATTCATTCTTGAGATTCGCCTGAGATAAGGCGGATGAAAACGTATTACACGGCGGGCAAGTTCTTACGAAACGGCAACCGGCCACGCCGGCCAGAGGTGCAAACGGGGTCCGTTCTAATCAGAACGTTCTAGGTAACGGCCGGCACGTGACGGTAGCCGGAGATTCCGCCCGCGGTGCCTCTTCTGCGGACGAGGAAAGAGTTCCGGAAGACGTTTCGTAAGACGCGTCGATACATATCTGACGGATCCCAGGTCCGTCCGGCCAGAAATCCACGCGCGCGCGCCCGTAGTCTAAATGGCTTCCTCAATGATCGCGGACGTACAGTTTCGCGGTCCGTTGGATCTGCGATTTTTCGTGTCGAAAGTGGAAAGTCGCGCGCGCCCATCGGCATCCTTTCGTTCGGCATAGATCCTTCGCCGGCAAGATCCGTCCCAGCGCCTAGGGTCACGCGCGGAACAATCGCGTTCAAACCGCACCCACGTTTCCGATTTTTCCTCATTTCCTCCACTGGCAGCC